TGTTTCGTTTAGACATTCGATCCATGGGTATTGTAGATCGAGTTGGACAACATGTGGAAGAAAGCGGAGAACGTTATTCTTCTTTTTTTCTATTCCAAGAACCTTAATTTTTGAATATACAGGTTATACATCGAAGCATGTTGTGTCATGTTACTCGATCGATAACATCGATTTCGTTCATTGATTTCGATTTACACGAATCGACAGGCCCGTGTACACGTGGAGAGAAATAAAATTAAAAGTATATCTTGATGCTCTCAATCCTTCAATTTCCTCCATAATTAATAAATGTGATTAATATTTTTGTCTCGTCGGGGCTACTCGGGTTGATCGATGTTTGCCCGATATACAAATTGCACGTTATTAGCGGCTATTCGACGTTCAATTATTTCGGAGATCCGTTTGAAACGGTATGCCTCTTTCAAATATATTTAATGGCCAGCCCGCAGCGCTCGATCATCCTCGCAAATCCTCTTCAACCTGGCGAGACGTACGTACTCTCATTCAAGCAGAAGTCGAGCTCTTAGATCTCTCCCTCTCCCGTGGCGGCGGATGAAGTGGACGTTGGTCAGAGAAGAGGCGGTTGCCCAATGCACTCAGCCAATTATAATTAATTAAACCAGCTCCTCGAGTTTTCCCCGGCGATTTTCCGAGCAGGAAATTCTCGCGTACCGACGGCTACAAATAGAAGTAGCGGCCAAAGTAATATTTACATTGCGGTGAACGACTGCTTTCACAAGGGATACAATGATCATGATTATCATTAGATCATGAAGTAGTTGTCTGTTTCTTATTTGTACACGAATTACCACCATCATTCATTAATCGATGTAATCTGACGGATAAATATATTATATACCGATCAAAATTTACGTGAGAAACGATAAACGTGTTATATATATTAAATAAGAAAAATTTACTTTTCTTAATTTTTAAGAGATAAATATAATTTGAGCAAATCAGATTAAAGAAATAAGCTAGCACCTTCTGAGTTGGCAATAGAGCTTGGTAGCATCGTAGAAGAGAGACAGTATTCTTCGTGCGGTTACCGAGGTCGCCGTGGGTTGAGAGCACCGGCGCGGTTAACCGCGACGACCGCAGCGACTGGTTCTGCCGCCTGCTGCCGTCTCCCTCACCCTCGCATTTCGTCGTATACGTCCGTCTCGCTCCCATTCATTGCCTTCATCTCTCTCCTTTCTTCACCCTTTCTCCCTCG